ACCCTCCTGGCACTTAGTTAAGGGGTTTTATCCCCTCCCTAACTTCAGGGGAAAATCCCTAAATGGGGAAACAACCTTTCTCAGAGAGGTGACCTTGGTTAAAAGACATAGCGCTAAGGGGAGCAAACATATTAAGAACAGTATGCCATATACGCCAGGTCCCTTGAAACATATGCTGTGCAGATGTTCCTTCCCTGCAGCGACTGTGTCAAGCAACAAGGATGGACCGGCTCCCAGCAATATGCATGCATACAAGTCTTTTGGTTGATCTCTCCCCTACCTTCCCTCTGAGGTTTGACGTTCTGATTGATGCTTCTCTGAACCTGACAAGTTATTGCTTCCTCCAAGAAGGGGCAGCTCTACACCTGGGTTTGCACCTTGGCATGTGAAACGTGTGCTGGATTTCAGCCCCTACTCACCCTGTGATCAGATATATTTGGACAGTGCACAACTTGCACTAGTGAACATGACAGTCTATCCAGTCTTTGATAGAGCATATCCATCAGTCCCTGTCTCCTGGACAGCTCGGTCCACTGTAGTGCAGATCTAGTTATTAAAAATTCTTCCTTCATACTCTATAGTGTGGCTATTATTAAAAAGCTGAAAAGAATTGGTGTTGGCAAGGATGTGGAGAAACTGGAACACTTGTGCTGATGGAAATATAAGATAGGGCAGTAGTCATGGAAAACAGTATAACAGTTTCCCAAAATTTAAACATAAAAATTACTCTATGACCCAGCAATTCCACTTCTGGATATATACCCAAAATAACTGAAAGCAGGGGCTCAAGCAGATATTTGTACACCCATGTTCATAACAGCATTGTTCACAAGAGCCAAGAGGTTGCAAGCAACCCAAATGTCCATGTATGGATGATTCAATAAACAAAATATTTATTTATCCCTAAAAAGGAATGAAATTCTGACATAAGCTACAACATAGATGAAACTCAAAGACATTATATTAAGTGAAATAAGCCAGATGCAAAAGGACAGATACTTATGATCCTGCTTATAAGAAGTACTTAGAGTAGTAGTCAAAATCTGCAGACAGAAAGGAGCATGGTGGTCACCAGGGGTTGGGGAGAGGGAGGAATGAGGATTTATTGTTTAATGTGTTTGAGTTTCAGTTTGGGATGGTGAAACAGTTTTGGAGATGGATTGTGGTGATGGTTGCACAACATTGTGAATGTACTTAATACCACAACTGTACACTTGAAAATGATTAAAATGATAAATTTATATGTATTTTGCCACAATAAAGATAATCCTTCCTGACATTAAGATTAAGTCCCTGCTTTGTACAGTTAATGAACATATAATCAATTAATTTTACTATACTTCTCAGTTTGGCTTCCCAAGGTTATTTCTTTTCCTTGGAACGTGGGTTGGATACAGATTTGCAGGTCTTCTGGGTTTCAGGAATACTTTGACTTCTGGTTCCAGCAGTTCATTAAGCATTACTGTGATGGTAGTTAGAATTACTTTTCTCAGCATCATATTATCATTATTGATTTCCTAAATGATAACTACTGAAAATAAAGTACTCAAGATGGCACTTAAAAACCAACCTTGGCGTGAATTTTCTTAAGAAATTTAAGTTTCTTGATTCAAATTTTCAAGTCCATTTCACAATTGCTAATTCCACAGATCCTCAAACTTGAAATGCAGTAAAGGATCGTAGTCTCAGTATGTGCTAGGAATGTTGTGTTCACTTTAGGGGTCCCTGGGGGAAATGAAACACGAAGGGTTCAGAGGAGAACCACAAAGATAAGGAAAGGCTGTGAGAAGAAAAGTGGAGAAACTGGGTAAATGTACATCAGAGGCCTGACCCCGTCACTGCAGCCTTCACATTGGGCTGTGCCGTGGCCCACTCGCTGTTGGCAGCAACCAACCCTGGCCTGGAGGGAAAAAAGTAATCCCGTTAGTTGAAGGTCCATTTTTAATTAAAAGTTACTATAGGCAGTTTGTTTTCAAAAGAGAGTATTCCAAAATAATAATTTGTAGATGGGTTGTTGAGGATTCTGAAGTGTGTTGGTGGTTATTTCATCAAAATAATCTTAAGGCTTAATGTAGCTCCAAGTTTTGTAAACTGCTGGTGGCCTCATTGCAGGGCCGAAAAATCAGTGAATCTAAGCATCGCTAATGATTGGGCAAGCAGATATTATGTGTCCTCTGATTATATATTCCATCTGGACAAAAATATTGAACTTGAATCAAATCTATATCTATCCTAATTTTGAGGAAATATAGGAGATAGATACACAAGTTAAATAAATACCATGAGGAAGCAATAGACAAATCCAGAAAGAATGACATTTTACAGGAGAACTAGTCCTGCCTCTTCAACAAGAAGTCAATGAAGAGGGATCTTTTTCTAGATTAAGACTTAAAGGAGCATGACCACTAGTTGCACTGTCCTGGATTGGATCCTGGTTTGTATAGACCAACTGCAAAGGACATTATTTTTTGGACAACTGGGAAAATTTAGATCTGGATGAGGTATGAAATACTAAAAAATTTTAAAAATGTGAAATTAATTTTATTTGGGGCACATTCTTTTAGGGGAGGTACAATTTACTTTTAACTGCCAAAGCAGAAACAAAAATGTCACAAGTTTAAAGAATGAACACTACTTAAAGCCTTGGCACATAGTAGGAGCTCAATAAATGATAGCTCTTTTCACTTTCATTTGTTCCTTTTTGTTTGTCAGTGAGTGATTGGGAAAGTAGAATAAGCAGCTTCACATGACATTATGGGTGACCTCAGTAAGGTGTCACATCAGTGGTGTGTCCAGGGAACTACAAGGTAAAAACTTAAGGGGATCTGAAGCCTTGAATTAGCCATGCTGAGAGAATAACCATTTATAGCAGAGCTTATACAACACTGTAGCCTGGATCCCTTAACAAAATAGGAAGGGCATGAAGGTTCCAGAGTTTGCTAGTGAGGACCAACTTGGGTGCTAAGATGACATCTTTGTGGCTCTGACTCCCTAGTGTTCCTTTTGGTTGGTATGAACTTGGATTGCACATGTAATAAAGACAAACATAAGTTGCCTATGCTTGAATAAAAAAGATTTAATCAAAATAGGTGACAGCAGGTCTCCTCTGGAGTAACTTCAGGGCAATTAGCTTATAGATGGTTGTTTAGATATGTCAGGGAAACTTATGAGAGAGCTTGAAATTGCCAGGAAAGATTACTAGGTATCCTGTCTAGTGCAATTTTCTATGTCCTTTCATCATCTTTGGGCTATTTTGCAACTCTGTAAGTTATAGAAAACTGATAGCAATGCCAAGTCACTCTTGTCTATAGACT